TAGCAAACATATATACAATAGGTTTAACTAAACACTTCAATGAGTACGATTGATGCTTATTTGACAAGTCGTACCGAGAATGTACACTGCAAAATGCGCAGAAAGCAAGTTACGCGATTAACTTGGGTACGATGGAAGAAATGGCAAGTAAACATATTGTACGTTGACAGAAAATTTACACATGCCCTCCGGGCATGTAATTTGGCAATTTTTACATGCCCGCCTGCAAATTTACCAGGACCCGGGCATCGGACTCCAGGGTTATTTCGAAGAAATCATTTCCTGGGGTAGTGTAGATTCTTAATTCTTCAAATCATGACCCCCGGGATTGGGCCGTGCCACAATAGGGAATCAAAGTTTTACATAGAAATATATAGGAAAAATCTTCTTCTTAAGAACCACGACGCCCGGGATTGGGCCGTGCCACAATAGGGAATCAAAGTTTTACATAGAAATATATAGGAAAAATCTTCTTCTCAAGAACCACTGGGCCAGGAAAGCTGAAACTTATGTGGAAGCATCCTGGGGTAGTGTAGATTCTAAATTGTTCAAATCATGACCCCCGGGGTTGGGAGGGGCCACAATAGGGAATTTGAATTGTCCAAATTAAGACCCCTGGGGTACGATGGGGTCACAGTAGGTATTACAAGGGGGAAATCTGGTTAAGAATCGCATGGTCAAAGCTTCTCAGGTGAGCGATGTGGCCCATGTGCCTCTTGTTTTTAGATGTCTTGATGACCGTGACCGTCCCATGTATTTGCATGATAGCTACACATTAGGGCTTCCACTTATAAACATGTGCTCCATCGATAATTTTGCGTAAAAATTCTAAATCACAAACCATTCTCCTCAAGATCCTTCGCCATTTATGGACCTACCGTGTAGAATGAGGTACGTCATACATGTAACGGATTGAAATTTGTTAAGAGATCTTTAAAAGCATTTAAATTACAAGTGCATCCAATGGATATTTAATAATATAACTGTTCTATTTACAGTTAGAATAGTTTTTATGCGTGTCTTATTTAGTTCAACACCTGCATACGGAGTTTATATCTCTCACTTGATTCGATGCGCGAGAGCATCCTCGCATACGTAGAACAATTTCTAAAGTGAAATATTTTACCCTCTCCAAAAGAGTGGGGGGTATACTGTTTCACCCTTGTGTGTCTGTCCGTCTGTCTGTCCATAACAAATTTTTGGTCGCAGTTTTCTCAGCAGCTACATCACCGATGCTTGAAATTTTATCACACTCTTGAGTGAGACATGATATATGGTGGGATTTATTTCTGTTCAAATCGGATGTCAACTTCTTGTTTTTCAGTGCTTCTGTCCGTTTCATACATATTTTTCGTTGCAGTTTTCTCAGATAGTACTCATCGCAGATGCTTCAAAATTTAGTACAATCTTTGTTAAGGCATGCCATATCGTAGGAATCATTTTTATTTACGTCTGATGTCTGTTTATCTGTGCGTATGTCCGTCACTGAACTTGTGTTTATTAACATGATAGTGTATGTTCACATTAGAACGGGGATATTACTAGTGAGTATTGGCTCACAGACTTCTTGTTGACAAACAAGTTGATGAAACAAGAGTATCAGCAGTCTCGTTAAGTTTTCTTAAGTTCTTTGGTCGTCGTTACACCTGTATTGCGTTACTTTGACCCGAGAAAACCACTTACCTTGACTGTAGATGCCAGCTTGAAGGGCCTTGGTGCTGCTCTTGTTCAGGATGGTCAGCCAATTGCATATGGGTTGCGAGCTTTATTAGCATTTAAAAAAGAGTCCGCAAAACTACGCCCAAATAGAAAAAGAGGTATTAGCGATATCATTCGGATGTACCAAATTTCATTAGTATGTATTTGGCCGCCACGTGTTGATGGAGAGCGACCACAAGCCACTCCAGGCAATTTTTCGCAAACCGCTTTATCAAGCGCCTGCCAGACTACAGCCAATTCTGCTAAAATTACAGCGTTATGACCTCGGAGTTGTATATAAACATGGGAAATGTTTTTGGCAGGTACCCTTAGCCGTGCATTCCTTAAGGAAACAAAGGAAGAGATCATGCCTGATATTGATGTCAACTCTCTTGCATACTTACCCATGACACCAGTACGAGCGATTTCAAAACTCTCATGGCGGCTGATTGTTTTCGAAATGTTGTTTATGTTAGATTTTAGGGTCAATAACGGCGATTAAAAAGGGGACTGCACCAGAAATCAGGTGGGACACATCAACTGACATGAACTGAGTCGCATGCGTTTGTTATTTTCACTAAATGAAGCGCCAGAGCAGAAATCGCCAAATACGCGTTGCATTCCTGTCGCTTCGCTCGCGAAGCTCACAGGTTATGTTTACATTGGTTTATTCTAAAACTGCCGACTCCTGTGATGTAATATATTAAGAATGATCTATGTACAAATTAATTGTCTTATTTTATATAACCGGATGTCATTACAATGCAAGTTGTGTTCTACTACCTACACGAGTGTCTAACTTTATATCTGTAGGCATTTGAAAAATTTCAATTGTTTAAAATCCATGCTGATTGAGATGAAGGTTATTTAATCTGCTTTTTAATAAGAAATATTCACTAGTGTTTATTACTAAAACAAAACGATTCTGTGATTATATGATATATAAATGGTGTGCATATCAGTTTATATTATTTTTGTTGAATTCAGTTAACCCCCCCCCCCCCCCCCCCAAAAAAAAATAATAACTGAATATAATTATGAGGATAGATACCTTCCAGAAATATTTACATGTACAATAAAGTAAAACGCCACAGAAAAGGGGTCCATTAAGTATTGCTTAAGTGCACTTCCTTATGGATATATTTCAAGTTTTTATAATAAATTAATAAAGTAAACGTAGCGGTCTCATCCCTAAACAAGGAAATAAACAATTATTGATCGTCGCAAGTCTATCGGCGAGCACGTTGAATTGAAATTCTCTATATAATAAAGATATCCATCAATGGCACTTAATGCCGAACATAAGTTGAGATTTAAGAGTCAAAATCAGCAAGCATCGAGCATTTAGTTAAAAAATGTGGAAAGTGGCATAGAAACAGATTTGGTTAAAACTCATATATAAATTTTCAGAACAAAGGGTATAATAGAAAAAAGCAAGCCAAAAATAATTTTTCGCATTGTTGCTATGGAAACCACGCGCCTTTCAAATAGCGTGTTTTGTACTTTATCATGACACTTGAATTTATAGTTAAACAAATATTTTTTATTACTAGTCATTAGTATCGCAACGGCTCTGGAACAAACGATTTTTCCACTGCCCTCGCGGGGTATGGGTCCAATTTTGTCTGACATGCGCTTCTTTCATACAAATTGAAATCATTGCTTCTATACAGACCACGTCACTGTCATACAAGGTCAGTCGGTAGAGCGCTCGTTCCGTGGTCGTAAGGTGGAATCCCGACTGCGACTGACCAAACTCGATAAAAATATGTAGCAACAGTTCCTTCGCCATGCGCTCAGCACGTTGAATTGAAATTCCGGGTCCTTCCGATGAGATCTTAAAAACCGAGGCCCCGTGTAAGGACAGGCGTTGGCATAATAAAGATATCCATCAATGGCACTTAATGCCGAACATAAGTTGAGATTTAAAGCCCTTTCCCTGTTCGTGGTGACGTCTCAATATAAAACATTCTCGAATGGGACGTAAAGCAATATATACTCATTTGACCATGTCAGTCTCACGGAAAATGACTGTTCAAATGGGATGCCTAGTTACGCTTTTTATACACTTTCCCTGCCCAAGAAATATCCAGGGATCCGTGTTTTATGCCGTGTTTACTAACTTTGCTTTTCAACTGATTGAGAAAGATAATCAGATCCGTAAGCGATACATAACAAAACCATTATACCATTTTACTTACAAATAAATTAATGTTGGAGGCATTTCAATAGATTTCGCACATCATGATCTTTTTTTTAGCAAGTGCAATTACAAAGCCTGGTGAATGACTGATATGTTAGCAATGACTGATTTTTTTTTATCATCGTCAATACGGAGAGCTCAGGATGGGTGTGTCGAGTCGACAAGATCTGATTTGTGTTCTTTTTGTTTTGGTTGTCTCTTTTTACAAGGCAAACAAACCCTGAAATTTAAAAAAAAAATCATTATTGTTAATTTTTTCCCAAATATAAAATTCCTTTTGATCTTGTATTATTATAGTAATAAAACTAATTCTAAAATATCGCAATGCCAGATTTTTACACATTTTAACCATTTGTAACTTTTTTTCTCTTTCTATAAAACTAATTAAAACTGATAAACATATGTAACTTTTTTCAAAATTAATAAGCATTGACGCCATAGTTATGAAAATTTTAGAAATTTTGTTTTTCTAACAAAAAAAAATACAGCTGGATTATATAAGGGAACGGCATTTTGATTTATACTAAGAGGGGATGGCTGGAAGATTTCGGAAATATATATAACCTATCCTTGAAAATGTTGAAACCTTTCCTCAACTGACAAAAAAATATATAATCTGTCCATGACGAGTGTTGTTACCCCCCTCCACGATTTTATTTTGGACTTAGTGAAGATTAAAATAAATAATCTGTTCTTGATTTTATCAAAAATAAATAATCTGACTCGGAAAAATTTGCCAGCGACCCTCCCCCTCCACCTTCAAAATTAAATGGTCGTCCCCTAATTAAGGATTTCGAGTAAAAGTGTGTAATTCATTTTTAATCAAATCAAAGAAAGAATTTTTTTCAGAGTATCAAAACCCCAATGCAATTAAACAAATTCATTTCTTATAATATTAAATTTGAAAATTCATATGAAATCTTGAACATCACCGTAAAACATCATTCTGCTGTGCCAGATCTGTACTTCAACGAAGCCACAAACAGTCTTACAGAGAGTTTTTTCTTTATCTTACGGTACCAAAGCTACTTGGAAGCAGATAATGAATATATATTGCTCATTTATTTGTAAACCTGAGAGAAATCAAAGTCGTTGCTTTTGGAAAATGTACATTTGGATTGAAAATCGATACCTTGGTTATGTCCATGACAGACGACAGTTCCAGTGGCATTTCAATACGATTTCTGGCTCCGGCTGGTAGATTGGCTGTTGGTTACTAATGAAGATGTGCGCAAGGTAAGTTCCTATACATTTTTATACATTAAATTCTCTTTTCCCGGCGAGTAAAATGTATTTTCGATAATTTAGACTGGTTAATTTGTTTGTTGTTGAAGGACAGGCGATAGGTTCCTCTATAATATATTTGTTCTTCAAGATTTTTTCATTGTATTGCTACTTTTATTACCATATTTACTCGCACAGAATTGAGGTATGCCTACCAGGAATTGGTGGAAGAAACCAGAAGATGATGTTTCCTATATTATCCATTTAAAAAAATCTTAATTCTTCCAATATCAAATTTTTTAGTGTTTCAATTTTTTACAGACTATAAGGAACCAGTTATGAAATCAGAAGATTATTAAAATTTTTAATATTTTCATACATTACGAAAATATACAAAACAGATAATTGAGGAAGGTATCGACTGACCTGAAAGTAAAATATTTGTTTTAAAATTACTTTCGGGTTTACTTGCCTTAGAAATGCATTAACATATGTATTGATGTCGCCACAAACTGGTCAGTAAAAATTGTTATTCCACCAACTTAAACGTTTGTTTATATAGTATTAAGTAATTGGACAAAATATCACTGCCAATTGTCATTCAAGCTACTTGTAAACTTATTTATAGCTCACCTGAGCAAAGAAGCTAAAGTGAGAATTTCTGATCCGATGCCGTTTCTCTGTTCGTCCGTCTACAAACTTTTTACATTTTCAATGTTTTCTTTTACAGCACAGAGCCAATTTCAACCAAACGTGCTACAAAGCATCCCTGGGTAGAGCCATATATTCAAATTAATTCAAAAAGTAGGAACACAACCTCTTCCAGCATGTTTTACGTTCCGTTCAAGAATTTTTCACTAATGTAGAAACGTCACCATATACCGGTGAATGGCTTCAAGTGTAGACCTTTACTTGGCGATAAGAGTCGTTGCGCAAGGGTTCTCTATCGTGCCAACACCTATCGTGACACAGGGCCTCGAGTTTTAAGGGGAGCAGAGAATTTTTTTTTTGGCTTACCTGAAAAAAGTTGACAAGCAAAGGGGAGGGGGGATAGGGGCCAATTTTTCAATGCCAACTTCTTTCAGTACCAATTTTTTGGCATTTAATACTACACTTCCCTGATATCGGCTTCCTCTACTCTGAAGTGAGGGGAGCAACTAGCCTTTCAATGAACATTTTGAACTGTAAAAGTAATGTTGGGAAAAAAAGTTGGGGGAGGGGGGGGGGGGGTAGGCCCCCTGTTGCTACGTGCCTGCAATGGGGGATCATAGAAATATATTGGAAAAACATTCTTGAAATCATTCTGAAGAACAGCACAGCCATAATTAATCATGAAACGAAAACATCTTCAGGTAGTATTGATTCAAATTTGTTTAAACCATGACCCCCTGGTGTAAGGTGGGGCCCAGTGAGGGATAGAAGTTTTACATAGAAATATAAAGAAAAAAATCTTATTCGCTATCATGATTATTCTTATTGAAATAGAACCGTCCTGGGTAGTGTAGACTCAAATTTGTTTATATTGTGCTCCGTACAGATAGATTGGGGCTACAATAGGGGGGGGGGGTCAAAGTTATACATAGGAATAATTAAAAAGGAAAACAAATAGTCGATGAACAGTATATGTACTGACCAAAGGTTAGCGTTGTGGCCCATGGGCATCTTCGCACGCCTTTTATATTCTGACAAATAAATTTGAATTTGCTCTACATTGAAAATATTCGCCCGCACAGTGCAGTGGTAGAGCTTCTGTTGTAAAGTCGCAAAGTAAGGAGTTGATCCTTACGTCACCGACTCGAATCCAACTATGGGACTTAGAGACCGTACACACCTATGCCCGTTTCGCAGTAGACGCAAAAAGATCGCTCCCGGGTGATGAGTATGAGTTGTGGTTCCTTCATGAATAAAAAAAGTTCTCAAAAGGGACGTTAAATTACAAACATTTTTAAAGTAATGTTTAATGCAAGTCTCTCCCTCCCTCTCTCTCTCTCTCTCTCTATCGTTAACTGAAAACTAAAAGCTTGGATTCATTAATTAGTTTGCAGAAAACGGATCACTTTTATGTATTCATTTGAATCATCATCCTTCAGACCTCGAAAGCACAGCTATCGTTTCAATTGACAATGTTGGATTTGACAGTTATTCTAATCAGTCAAGATTTCCCTTAAATGTATGGTCAGATATTTCTTACCAAGACTCGAGTGGCAAGGAAATGGCGACTTTCCCTTTACTTAGTTAATAGTTTATTTCAATCATTTTAATTCCTTTCCTGCTTTTGAAAGTATAGTACTGCCTTATTTTTATGGCAAGCTGCTCTATGATAAATATATGGAGAAGAACGAACAGTATTCAAGTATTTTGGAGCAGAGCAATCACGGACATATATTAGAAATGCTTTTTTACCAACAAAAGAAAAAATTGATTTCATGATTCATATAAAGTAGAATTTATCGTACTCAAACTATTACTAAATGATAAGCACTAGACTTTTAGAGGATTTTCAAAGACTTCTAGATATATTGCTAATATTTCATACACAAGTAGTTTGAATGTGTACTTCTATCCGGTATAGTTTTTAATCGTCAATGCTTAAATGTTAGATAACAGAATCAATCCAAATTGCACATGTCTGTCATTTAATTCTGCATTAAAAGGTTACTGCTTTACAATGCACTGAAGTAAAGTAAAAGTCTTGTTTCTCTAATATAAGAATATCTATCAAGCCAATGACCCATGTTTAAGTGTGTGTTTAATGTGAAATAATGAACTTAACTTGTATGTAGTTTGATTGTGACTGAGATTCAGTAGTTCTTTATAATGAGAATAAACCATGCATGTAACGCCTATGCATCCTCAGGCCAGAAGCAACAACGTATTCTGACAATTGAAGGTTTACGTCTCAGTGATATTAGTGGTATGTTTGATGCAACTTGTAAAAAAAAATCGATAAACACACATATAATAAAGCCAAAACAGGAAAACCGTAAATAACCCTTCTGTATGAGATAACTAGTTCTCGCTGGAAATGATAGTCAAGCAGTAGTTGTGCTGAATCCATTTTACAAGATTAAATCTTGAGCCAAATAACCTTTCATTACTTTAAAGAGAGAAATAAAAAGCGAAAAGAATAATTTCGCCCTCAATTTTCTTTTCCCCATAACATTAAAACATATTTACAGATGAATAAAATTAAGGCAGGGATAGCAACAATTAATCATTTAATCGATTCAAACAATTGCAATAAGCTATATGGATAATAATTTGATGAAACAGTTCATTCAACAATTTGGATAAGTGTTTGAGGTCTATAAAAATCAATATTCAGGCAATTATTTTCACTGAAAAAAAATCTTCAGTTAAAAATTTAATATAAAGCAATAAAATTATTTGAAAATAATGTCACTTTTCTAAAGAACGAATCTTCATAACTCTGCTTTCTCGCCCCTTTTTATATGCAGAATTTTACCTTTTCAAATCATAACATTGTCATTTTATAGCTAAAGCCTTCAAGCATTGTCTGTATAGATACTCATAAATATTTTTTGGGGAAAGAAATTTTCCAAATATACATGAAATTGATTAAATAAAATCGTATACTTCACTGTAAAATCCCCGCTAAGCCATTACAGCTAGGTCATTGTATTATTTGAATGAGAAGGCGGAGCGTCTATAAAGCGTGCGATTTGTGTGAATTAATTAGTGTGTGTTCGAGATGAATTACTGACACATAAAAACCCTCTCATGTTGTGCTAGAGACCGACAACATATGGAACTTGGCACACAAACAGACTTCACCGATACATGTACATGATTGTTTATATTGGTTTTTGACTTTGTTGAAGGGTTTTGTCTTGGCTACTTAAATTAGAAATTTTTTATTTAAAATACTTGCAAATTATTATTCCTTCTACAATTTTTGTTTGACTTCAGTACAATCTTGCACACAAGTAAACTACTAAGATATATATTTGTTCCCCGCTTGAAAAGTGGGGATATTAATTTGGGTTTGTCCGTCCGTCCGTCTTTCTGTCTGTCTGTAACGCTTTCGTTTCCACATGATATCTCGAGAACCCTTTGAGCTTTTGCAATGAAATTTAGCATAGCAACCCCCTATGGACTAAAGAAGAACCCTATTGATTTTGAGGTCAAAGGTCAAGGACATAAATAAGCAAATTCTGTCTGTTATAATACTTTTTGTTTCCACACGTACGATATCTCTAGAACCTTTTGAGCTATTGCAATGAAATTTTACATAACTCCCTGTGGCCTAATAAAGACCCCTATTGATTTTTAGGTCAAAAGGTCAAAGTTCAAGGTCGTAAATTTACACATTCTGTCTGTGTGTAACACTATCATTTCCGGGCGATATTTGAAGAAGATTTTAAGCTTATTCAATGTAATTTTATACCAAAACTCCCTTAGGACCTCTCTCACCCCTTTTAATCAATGTAATTGTAATTGCGCGCCGTTTGTTTTATTAGTATTTATAGTATTACATGTCGCTATTTTTAGCACAGGGGCATGAGGAGAGTTATTGCGTATAAAACAGGTTCTCGGCGGACTTTATGTTCTAATTACATAGATCTATTAGAACTGTTTAATAAAGGCTGAATAAATCAAACACCATGGATTGTGTAAAATCTTAATACCGAACATGAATATATACATGTATGTGACTTCACTTCTGCATATACTTGACTCTATGTAAAGCGATTCCGTGGTCTAGTGGGATGTTTCTCGCTTCCAGTGTGAGATGTCCCGAGTTCAAGTCCCGGACGGACAGCTTTTTTTTTTTGGAAATACTTTTTTTTCACTAAATAATAGTATTCAGCACGCCAAATGAAAAATTTACGAGGTCTGGCTTGTACAAACTCATAAAATCATCATTACATTGTGATAAATATTCCATATAAAAAGAATCTTCTATACACATAATAAAGAATAAGCAATCAAATCTTTATATCCATACTGGTATATTTTCTTTGCTTCAGTATACATGCATGTATACATTTAATAATTTTACAAATTCAGTGAGGGGGATCCAACTCTCCCTCCCCCCGAACCGCGCATGTTTTACTTTTTCCTTAAGCGGGGGACACAAATTCTCTGAATTAGCTTGTTATATCAGTTTTTGATTTCGATGAACTGTGTAACCATGGTTACTAATAATAGAAAATTCCTAGAAATTCTTTTAAAAGGCAACCCCTCCTATAGTTATATCCCCCGCAAACCAAGTTTTTTTTTTCGGGGGGCGGGGGTTATGTAGGAATCAGCTTGTCTGTCTGTCTTTCTGTGCAAACATGTCCGGTCCATATCTTTCTTACAGAAAGAACAATAGACTCTTATACTTCACACAAAGATTGCTCATGACCTAAGGGTGTGTCATGACCTTCATCCAAGGTAATTTGGGGAAGGTCACTGGAAGAAAAATTTCAAAATTCGTTTCCGGTTCATATCTTTCTTATGGATAAACTTGGTAAGTTCCCATTTCACACAAAGAATGCTCGTGACCTTAGGGTGTGTCATGATATTGATCCACGGTCACTGGAAGAAAAATTTCTTAATTCTTGTCCGGTCCATAACTTTCTTATGGATAAACTTGGTAAGTTCCCATTTCATACAAGAATTCTCATGACCTAAGAGTGTATCATGACGTTGACCCAAGGTCATCAGTGCAAGTTCAAGGTCAATGAATGAAAAATTTTATAATTCATGTTTTGTACATATCTTTATTATGGAAAACTTGAATCTACTACTTCAAACAAAGATGACTTATGACCTGAAGGTGTGTTATGACCTCGAGCCAAGGTCACTGAGAAATTTTTCATAATTCGTGTACGGTTCGTATCTTGCTTATGGATAAATTTAATAAGTTCCTATTTCACACAAAGATTCCTCATGACCTAAGGGTGTATCAAGATTTGTCCTACTTTGATCCTACAATTGCAAAGCTCAAGACTGCAGATTCCTTATTTCGTGACTCTAAAACAGACGCGCTCTAACCACTGCGCCACTCGGGCAACGTGTAATGTATATGAAGTTATGTAAATATATCCATTCATTGCAATTGATGTATATATATATATCCTTGCTGTTTGCGATTTGTTTTGCAGATTTTAGAGAGACATGGAAACCGAGAGCCTTACTTGGAATGAACAAGAATCTCCTAAAGGGGAGACAGAAGACCGATGTACTGTACAATTTCTGTCCGTTTCAAACTCGTCCCTTGTTCAGTCGAAATGTAGTTTGACAGAAAACAACTCTGAAAATAATAGGAATGTCGAAGCAAGAACAAACAACAGAAAACCGCAGAATTACATGTGTTTAGCTTTGATCACTATGCTTTGCAACTGTCCTTTCGGTTGCGCAGCAACTGTTTTCTCTCTCCTGTCGTCAAAGAGTTTCATTGAAGGCAAGCAGAAGGAGGCTGCCCAGAGAGGAAACATTTCTAAATGGATCTCGATCGTTGGACTCGCTGTATCTGTTGTCGTGATTCTGTTCATCATTGTCTATGTGGTCGCCATTGTCCCTAATGTGATCGATAATGCACATGACCTTCTGAACCATTGAAGAGACGGTCAGTAACATTGAAAATTAAAGATGGAGGAAAAAAACTAATCAGTGATGATAAATGAAGGATCATATTTTTTTTTGAATTTGTAAACGTCTCAATACTATTATCTGAAATGGGATTTGTATTATCATTGTTGAAATAATATACATGTAAAAGTATATGAAACAAGATCAGTTTGTCGTTCTGCTAATATTAAAACATATTTATCTAGAAACCGGAATACATTTTAATGCTCAAATCACGCAAAAGCATGCAAGACAGAAAATTAATAATCAACAAGTCGGTTCATTTCCTTTATTTAGAATTAAAAAACTAACAAATAAACAACAATTAAACGTACGAACTAATAAGCAGTTTTGGAATTCAGCACAACGTACCACATTACATCATTCATGAAGCATAAACGTGAGAAAATGTGAGATCACATAAACAAAAAAAAAATATCATACAGCAAATACTAACAGTCACCCCCCCCCCCCCCCCACCCCCCAAAAAAAATTATGAAGCACTTGGAAACACGGTAATTAAACGACAGACAATCTGTCGTAGATTATAACTATTTTTCTTGTATCAGATGAACACTATCGATGCATACTTTTCATATGAGAAAATATATAATGAGTATAACGAAATTTATCACCACGAATGTGTATTATCCTACCACAAACATTGTGTGAATTAGCACAAAGCATGCACAAAATCCCATAACGAAGACAGGAATGCATGACATCGCCACGGACAACATAAACCAATCTGAAAAATGGAAGAAATCTCATTACAAGTTTGAAAGGCATTAAGCTTAAAAGACCTCAGTAAATCATGAAGTAAGGCATTTCAAACAAGGGGCCCCTGGGCCACATCGCTCACATGAGCACACTGAAAAGCTCAATTGAGCCTTCGACTCAGGTGAGTTAAAATATCATGGTTAAAACTTACGATCTGGAATTAAACTTTTCCTTATATTATTCAGAAGGCTATCAACACTTCCAAGACTCAAAATGAAAATAGTTAAAAGGGGTTACTGAGCAAAGAACAATTATTTTTTATGGATTAAAACAGCAGGATGTTTTATTTTTTCCAAAGTCTTCTCCTCGAATAAATAATTGTCCATATTCGCAAGTGTTTTTAAATAAAAAAAAATTTTCCCTCTACCTTTCTAACTACACAATTAGTTTTTTTTTAAAATGCAAATACTGTAAGGGGAAAGCAAATAGATATCCTTGTGCAAGTTTAAATTTATTTTGTTATTTGTAGTATGTAATGAAATAACACAATATTTTGTCTTTCTATATGCGAAATCCATTTGTAATCAATAACAAAATATACTTGATATTCTGATAAGCCACATAAAAACCTTCTTAAACGGGAAAAATGCATAGCTACTGAAGTAATAATGCACCATAAGTTTATTTAGTGTACATGTAGGTGTTTTTAAAAAATTAATACCTTTCTCAATTGTATAAATTGCCTGGCTACATTTAGAAAATTGTTGAGAAGAAAAAATCTTCATTATGTAAGTAAAATGATTTATTTTTTACTTACTTGGTGGTTCATATCCAGCTTCTTTTACCGGTTTCTTCACATTGACTAGTAATATCCCCGTAGTTTTATCTGCACTATCGTCACAACATAATTTTACAATATAAGAGTTAATGTCTTTGTAAGAAAAGGCGGGATTTTCAGTGGTCAAAATGGAAAAGATACCACGTGATGAACCAGCTGTCGAGTTTCCAGTGACGTTAAAATTCGTTGAACTTGGTAATACAGTCTCTAGCAGACAACAAACTTCATCCCCCGAAGGATCTTCCACAATGGTGGAGTAGAGAACAGTTTCTCCACCCGTCTCCTCGGCTACAGACATAGAATTCGGCAGATCTAGTATTTCTGGAGGCTGGAATCGCAAATAAGATCAGGATTAATAAAAAAAAAATGCACGTATATCCCTCTTGATTTCAAATGGACGAGGATTCAACTTTGCTCCATCCATGAGAAATATTCAAAATTAAATTTAAATTTGCTTACTATCAGTCGCATAAACATTTCTTTTATGAAATATTAATGTCACCGAAAATTGACAAAAAAGATTATGTCGACAAAAAAAACGCCTTGATTTGACATCAAAGTCATATCATACCCTCTGGTTATAGTTTAGTTATGACATATGTACATGTAATATATGGAGTAAGAACAGTATTCAAACTAAAAAGTCCATAAAACATTACGAAATAGGAGCAGAGCAAACACGGACGTCAAAAAAATTTAGAGGTAGGATCAGGTGCCGTTGAGGAGTGATCATTCCCAGGCGACTGGTCACACTCGCCGTGAGATCCTTGTCATGATCGGGAAATAACGGAAAATCCGCCGTCAATTTAGAGTGTAAATAATGGCATAACAATTAATATGAAAAGCGTCAGTTAGAAATTGACGCGATTATAAATTGTATTTGGTGACAATGTCATTGTATCGATCATAGATTTTACGAAATGATGAGTAAAAAAGAGACTGCTGATATTCTTGTTTCATTTATTTGTTTGTCAATATTTACCTCGTTTTATAAATTGTACATACGTAGAGAATGCTCTTACCTATCAAATCAACTGAGAGATATAAACCTCGTATATGCAGATAATGAAGGTACATTAATGGATAAGTAAGGGAAGTTGACGATCGATTGAAAAGTCAAATTCATCTGTTTATCGGACAGTTTGGTTGTTAGATTACCATTAACGTCTTTATCAAGTAAAATATCCAGATTTGAAACAGATATGTCGGATCCTGTGGTATCTTTTATCTCAAACTTGTCGGTGATATATAGTATCGACATAAGAATGTAAATAACCATTGTTAATTGACAATACGTCGTTGGTATACCTAAATGTCGAGTTGAAGGCCACAACAAGTGTTTTCTTCTTAAAGTTTTCATATTTAAAACGTTGGACAAATTCTGCTTCTTATGGATACAATAGGTTGTTTTTTTTGTTGTTGTTTATCGTGTCTCGAGAATATTTCACTCATATATTGCTGCCACCACTTGCCGGTGGAGGGCTACAAATTCTGACCTATACTCGGCACCTACGGCCATTGAACATTAGGTAATCAAAAACAAATTTCGATTTTAATTTACTAAAAGAGAAACGAGTCTTTTTATACACTCTTATTTCAATAATTACAAGTATTGTTTAATTGAATCATAAATTCTACAATATCCATTGAAAAGAAGGTGGACTTTTAGGAATATATGGTTAAAGAAAATAAATACAAAATTACCATATTCTGTGATTCTATGGAAAGTGTCACTGTGGCACTTGTATTACACGCATCCTTTGCTTCTACCAGTAACAGATAGTCCTTTTTTTCAGTGGCCCTCGGCATCTTTTTGGCGACTGTTACTTGAGCTGAAAAAATTACCTCACCCTTTGAATGTCCCCGTTTTCTCAGTCTAATTTTTTCAGTGTTCTATTTACGTTGAAAACATTCATTCTATATCTCAATATATATTTTTAGAAAAGACTCAGTCGATTATTAAGGTGATTGTACCTATTTCATCCACCACGAAAAACGCGGCAGAGGAAGTAGAGGAGGGGTGTTGCATGACGGTATATGTCACGTTTTCTGCGTAGTCCGCCCCTCCCACCTCCAGCACCATCACAAAAGAACCTGGGGGTAAGTGGTCTGGGATTTCCGCCGATTGATTGGGGTTGTTAAAGGATATAATTGTATCTGGAGGAAAAGTAAATATTTAAGAAGACTGGAATTTGATTTCACTTATAAAATTTAAAAGAAAAATAACAGTTATTGACGCGTTCATATATAACCCATGGAGAAAAAACTATTAAATTTTGCTGAAAAAGAAAGAGCGTTTTATTTTTAAACTGAAAGTAAATAAATGTTACATGTGTAATGCTTTTGACAATTCTTAAATAATTTTATGTGGCAAATAATGAATTATCAATATTTAATGCAGTACATCAAAAGTCATTTATTTGGAAAAATAACACGCATAAAAGTCTTATCTCAGCTGAAAATGCTGAAAGAAATCGTGAATAGGAAATAATTTATTGGTATTATATTAAACTTTGGAAACTGTATGCAGATCATGAAAAAAGAAGTAAGTGCATTTAACATATTCTTACTGTCCTCAAGGCAAGCTTTAATAGCATAAGCTGTAGTATTTATTATGTTTCCTGACGTTTTCCAATCAAATACGTCCCCTCTCTGTAAAGTTTGGGCCGAGTAAGCCTGGTATCCAATAGCACACTCATCTAAGCAGTCTCCATTTGTGATGATATTACCGCCATCGTTGTCAGCGAGTGAGCGCCTAGAAAAATGCAAAATGACAACTATGTTTAATGCCTGACTAAGCCACGCAAATGTGAAGCCTTGGATATGGAACAAAGGTGTAAAAAAAATTGTTTTTCATTTTTAAGCTAAAGATTTCACTCCATCCCGAGACAAAAGTATGAGACTGACATGAAAAATCTCCACAAATGACCTATTTATTACAAAAAATATGAAAAATGAAAAGAATGGACTGAATCATTGACTTATGATATTCATAACCATTTTCCGTAGTATATTTTAGGTAATTGAAACTGTGTGCTATATGTCCTAACTGCAATTGCCCAAAAGATTTACGGTGGGATTCTTCTCAGGTTTCTGACTAAACGAAATATTTGAAGTATTTGCTATATATTTACATTTAAGAGATTTAAAAGATCATTTTCTCTTTTTTCCACATCACAATTGTACAACTTTGAATAGAAATGATAAACCAAGTTTGAAAATCTAGGAAGGACTATATTTCTGGCGGAATGGTGGCCTATGAAAATACCCTCCATGCTTCTCAAAATTATATTAGAAAAAGGATTTTAGTAATAATTTTAACACAAAGACGAAGTAATTTTCAAATGTACGTAATAACTTGAGCATATGTGAAAATAGGAAAAAGAAATAAATATAGGAAGCATATTAAAATAACTATATTCGAATTAGCCAATATCCATTTTAAATAAATTATTTATGTCAATTTGGTTATATCATTTTATAGACTCTCTAAGGTAATATCTTTTTTATGCAAGAAGAAAAACATATCTTTTTATGCAAGAAAAACATTAAATGTTTTGAAATAAAAGTAGGCATCTCATAATTGGCAACAGTATTTAGTTATTCTTAATATCCAGAGAAAAGCTAACGACCTTTACCTAACCTTCTCTCTGATATAAAAATTTAATCTGATACCATCACCTGATCCCACCTCTGATGTTTCAGAGGTCTGTGTTTGCTGTGATTACATTTTATATTGTTTAATGGACTTTTGAGCTTGAATTCTATTCGTTATCTTCATATATTTCATTAGTAATATTGTCATCTTGATTCTATGGAAATTTAATTAATTTTTAGATACAAGAAATATGAGAAGAATTTCTCCTTAATTAAATAACCTTATTCATACTGATCCACAACACCAAAGTCAGAATACAATCCACTGAATAAAATAAGACAATACGTATGTAGATATAGACCATTACACTAGATTTCTTCTAACTAACTGCTGCGCTTTAGTCAGAGTAATTAAAATTAAGAGAGGTTCGGCTGAAAAAAGAAACATTAATGATAAGCATTAATATTCCTGTTGGAGTGATGCTGGTCCAATCGATTGAAAAAATTGCCTATACTTTACGAGTGGAAATTCAAATGACAAATTTCATTTACAGAATATTTAAACTACGAATGCCCAAGAAAAGCAATTTCACAATCTACGGTTACTGAGAGAAACTTCACCATTGAAGACCACAATTCTTACCATCCGATGACGTCATTTTCAAGAACAGCTATCCTTTCGTATTCCACAACGGTGTACACCGTTGAATTAACACCTTAAAAAAGATAATATTTAGGGAAGAATTGGTGTACATGAATGGGTGTATCTAAATATTACACGAAAACGACGTCTGTCAACAAGTCAAAATTGAAAATACCTTCAACGTAAATTGTGTTGTAAGCAACAAGCTTATAGTTATTTCCAGAAGGTCTCCACACCATAAAATCTATCCATCCAGACCTCGAATACGAAAACTCCCACGAAGTAATGCGTGAGCAGGTGGTTATTATAAATACATAATCTGTCATCAGGTACATCATTCCTAATGATAAAAACAAAATCTGATGAAGCTGCTGCCATACTAGCCAAGCTTAACATTATAGAATCAGAGAAAAGATTCGATACTTTTACCTCCTTGATATAAAATAATATTGCTGTTTAAGTCAAGTCCTTACCTTTATGTTATTCAGTAGTGAACTACTTGATACGAGTTAACATATTAAAAAGTAAAATGTGTATATATTATTTATCATTAAAAAAGTTTCGATTAACCAAAGAGTTAGGTTTCTCTATCCGTTAGACTCCAGAAATACATCTTACCTCCCTGAATGACAGGTTCCATTTTTAATTTAAATTTTATATGCAAAAAGACATTGATGATAATTATACAAAACCTCTTGATCCCCCTGTATGTGCTGTCAAATCCTTTGGGTACATATAAATCAAACTGTTCAGGCATGGGGCAGCTAAAAAGGTATTAAATGATATTTCAATATTTTCTTCATCAAAGGGGGTTTTGTAACCTAACTCAATCATTGTTGTTAAATTAACTCATTTTTGCTTCTCCACGCTCTCTGATTGTCTAACACTAGATCACATGATCCAAGTACACGTATGTTACTTTTTAGTTGTAGATTTTTAAAATGCATAGAGACCTAATCAATGTCTCTTAAATGGAAATAATCTTCCATAAAACATGTCTTTCAGCC